TGGTCAATCACATGATTTCATATGAATACCACATGATTACTATTAAAAATGATCTACGGACACCCTACCCTTAAAAACTTGTAAAAAATTTTTTTTATATATTTTAATAACCGGATAGGTTTTTTAAAAAATTTTTAAAAAAATTTATAAATTTTTTATATGTAAAATTTAAAAAAAAACTAGCCGGCCAGGTTTGTTTAAACAGTTTTATGTTAAGAAAACCAAAACATTTTTTTTGTAAAGCCTTATTTATATATAAAAAAAACAAACCAAAAAACAACTTTTATTTATCATTATCTATATTTTTTTCATTATTATCTGTATCTTTTTTATTATTATTATTATCATCTAAGAATAAAAAATCAGAAGATGTAAATTTAGAATTATTTTTTCTTGTTCTTTTTTATCTTCTATATCTTCTTCTAAATCTAATTGCACTAATTCGAATTATTTTAAAATTATTTAATATTATTTAGCTATTTCAAAATATATTAAATTATTTTAAATAATTTCTAATTTTAGATTCTTATATTATTTATCACTCTTGACTTTTATTTGTCTAAAATAATTTATAAATATTAATTATATCAAATTATTTTAAATTATTTTAAATTATCAAACCTTTTTAAAATTCTTCGAAGTTTTTTATGTTTTCTAATAGGTTTCTCTTTTATAATTCAACAGTCCTACCACTTTTTATTTGCAGATTAACTAAATTAAAAAATTTACATTTCCTAATAATAGCTATACTAATCTACCCGTAAAGTAGCTTACTCATGCTTTCACCAGATATAACTTGGAATCATCTAAAGTAATCATCAAAAGTGCAGTAACATGATCATACTATTAGTGCTGCTTATTTGTTCTCTTCTAGCTGCATATTGTAAATCTTTTTTTAAAATAGTTATTGTTATTCAGTTATTGTAATTCGATACTGCAATATATACTGTGGCTACACCATGATCAATGTCACTAGCACTTTTTATAGCCACCCTAGATGATTCTATAACTTGCCTTAGTGGACTTCAAGCCTCTTTCCGGGCTCTAACTTACTAGAGGTTATCCTTTAGTCATGGGCTGGTGCTACACATTATATCAAAGTTAGCTTTCCTTTTTACCAAATGAAATACAAACACAAATGCAAAGGGTAAAACAAAAATAGGGAAATACTACAGTGTCGAATTCTGGTCTATCTAAACCAATAAAACCAAATAAAACAAATAACGAAAAAAGAAAATAAAAGAAAAGAAAACAAAGATAGCACTATTAAACTCATGCAGGATTGTAAAAATTATATAGTAATACAAATAATCTAGACTAAAACTCTATGCTAGTTATTTATGTCTATATCCAGGATGTAAAAATATAAAAAAAAACCATCTGGTCTTGAAGTAGAGCTTCAAGGATCGAAACTTCTAGTTGCTATCCCAAACCATCGACAAGCCTTTTGCAATGTTTCAACCTGTAACTTTCTGGGCAAAGTTTACAAACTGTTGTCCGTCAACCCATGTTGGCAGATCAGGCACTCTCGGTGTAATCACCGTAACCTCTTGAGGAAAAAGTATCTAACACTATAACCTAAAGCATATACATATATATATACGTGTATTTCCTTTTTTTGTAACAATTGTTGTTGTCAATCTTTTGATAGGAGTACGCTATTTTTCCTACTTTTTGTAGAAATTTTACAAAAACCAAGAGAGTGGAGTATAGAAAAGGGTTTCAGTTTGCAGGTAGCCTTAAACTTCAGTAAGGAGTGTATTGAAACTCACTTGTTGTTCTTCTTAGATCAACTATCTCTAACTTCGTCAGCAGAAGCAGAGCTTCTATTAAAATTTTTTGTATAAGAGCACCACCTTCTTGTCAGTTATCTTGTACAGGAACGCTTTTAACTTGCATACTGAATATACAGAGGAGTTTGGAGAAATATGGAAATCCTTTACCTCTGTAAAAACCATTATTGTATAATTGTTACTTCTACTTTTCTCTAACAAGTTTCTGTTTTTGTTAGCTATAAATTTGGCACAAGTAATCGTTAGGGAGAGTTGCATGTTTCTAATGGGTTTCTAATTAATTAAAATATATTTATAAAATTAGAAAACTATTTGCGATATTTTTAAATTAATATTTTTTTTAATTAAAAATTATTTATACTTTTTGATTTTATCTAAATCATATTTATCAGAATTATCTCTTTCTTTTGTACTTGCTTCAACTTCAAAACTTGAAATGCAAAAAATAACATCATGCTTTAATTTATTCTATTTATTTTGAAACAATTTGAATTAATTTAAATTAATTAAAAATATGAATAATAAAAAATATTAATAAATGTCAGAGATCATAATGAAATCAGATTAAAATGAAATGAGATTTTTATTTGCTTCTTCTAAAACCCACTTATACTTGTTTATTATAAAAACTACTTCTAAACCCTAATCCTAATCCTAAAAAAATGCTAAAAAAATATACCTCAAAATTTTGTATTTTTTGGTGTCTTTCATTTCATTTTAATCTGATTTCATTATAATCTGTCACATAAAATATTAACCCCTCTAGCTCACCCACAAAAATTTTTCTGGCATGTGATTTTAGCCAATTAGATTGAAGGATAAAATATAACATAAAAATTATGCCTTTTACAAAAATCACCAATAATTCGAAATTTTGTTTATAAAACTGCTTTACATATTTTAACAAAAAAAATTCCTTATGAAATTTTGGTATAATTTATGCCCATTCCTTGACCTTAATCCTAACCCTAAGATGATATTTATTGTAATAAATCTTTGCTTATTCAATTGTTTTGTTTTCACATATTTGATTGTTTTGATTTACGTTACACCCAATGTTGTCACTCGGACAACTCGGACAGCACTTGGACAGAGTTTGTCAGAGTTTGACACTGAATAACTTTGAATAATATATTGTGACCCACCTTCAGTTATTAATTAAAGTTGTTCAGAATTATTTTTTGCATATATGTATACATTTTTAAAGTGGATTTATAAGTCTGATAAAAAGTCAGACAGTCCGCCGGACATTCCAAAAGGCTCGGACATCAAAAATGTACAACACTGGTTACACCTGATCTTTTGATCTAATTGGCTAAAAATCACGTGCCGGAAAAAATTTTGGGGTTAATTACTAGATATTGATATTTTTATTAGTAAAATAATAATTATAACGTGCGGTGATACGCACATTCAAAAAATTTTTTTGTTCACAAAAATAAAACTTAAGTGCGGAATGAACATAGCACACGTCAATTTTTTTCACTGAAAGGATACTGTAATAGCACTAGTAACGATAGTAGCGATAGTAACGATGTAGCGATAGTAGCACTAACAGTTTCCATAAATCCAGGGTTCTAGCAAAATGTAATTTATAAAAATAGTAACAGAAAACGAAAGTTCGAAAGTATAAATAGCCTTAGATATTTCTCTTGTAAAAGATAGACCTCGAAGTTCCAACAACAACTTAACAATAAATAAAGAGTAATCGTGTCTTCATACACGAACAACTCGAATACTTTATTGATAAATCCTTAAAGAGTAATCGTGTCTTCATACACGAATCGCATAACCCTGTTATAGTGTCTCCATACACGAATAACTTGAGTATAATAATAAACTTGTTAATACGACTACTTGTATCTTTCATATACATTTAGCCGTTCGCCTCTTTCGTAACTGCAAATCACCTTAATCCTCTTAAAGCGTAATCGCAATAAACCATATATTAAATTAAGCATAAATCAGTATTCGATATCAATCTCTTATATATCCGTCGCTAAAGTAAAACCGTTATACCGAACTTATAAGAGGTAGTTAACCCATATGTAGTTATTCCAGAGTATCTCAGAGAATTGGGTCTCATCGAATAAAATAGGTAAAACTTTAATGATATTATTGTTTCCGATAAGGTTTAAGTTATATTGATATGCATGAAAAATAAAATTATATGTCTATGTTGCGATATATAAACTGGTCGCTAATACAACCAAGATATTCAAATTCAATATCAAAATAAAGCTCTCAATTGCTTTATTATTTAAGTGTTTAAATGATGTCAATCAAAACACCTTGACATGAGAACAGGTGTCCAAATTATTACAACTCTGGATTACGGTTAACTCTGGCTTATGCTTATTGATAGCAGAAAATTATATAATAAAACTTATTACATGATATATAGTTGACTGAAAAAATGTTAGTTTTTATCAACGAGAATAAAAGAATTTATCATCTTCTCCAAAATCACTTTTACGTTTTGCTACATTTGTCAATATCCAGGCCATTCCAATTGGATATAATCGAGGATTAGGGGTCGAAGCTTGAAAGGAGAGTTGATCCATGAATGCATTAGGGAAAAGATTTTCAATATTGCGTCGCACGGTATAAAGCTCGGTATTACTGGTAAAGTGAAAAATGGCACGTGAGTTTTCATCTCTACGCTTATTCTGAAGGCCATTCGTCGCGAAACTATCCATAATATTGTAATACGTGGGCCAACCATGTTGATGGATCCAATTCTGATTCGGAACAATTATAAGAACCGGATCAAGAATTTTTACGTTTGCAAGTTGTCTCTCGTACTTCGAAATTTGCTCATCAGAAGCTTTCGAAAAAATAGTTTTAAGTGCCTCACGAGTAGATAGACAGTCAGAGTATTCGGACTTCTATAAAATATAACTTGGAAATGAGCATTCTTCTGTTAACTAAAATGACCAGATAACATCACACTTACTCTTCGCTTGATAAATTTATTGAACAAAGTGTAACTACTGCAAAAAATATTAGGTTACATAATGATACGTGAAATCTAACTTTTAATTATCGATATTGTAACCTTACTTTTATACAACTGTGTAATACAAAATACAATAGCTACAAACGAGGCAAGAAATGCGAAAGGGAGAGCCTAGAGAATATAAGAAATGAGTGGAAATAGAAAGGCAACAAAGAATTTACAAAAGACACGTTATACTACCAGCCAACCAAACAATGCACACACTGGAGGTATTGTGGAATAAATGAACCAAGCTAGAGGTGAAAAAAATGATTGCATGTCGATGTGAAAAAACTGCAATATTTCTGTATTTGGAAGGTTCAAGAAATTTATTTTGTTTTCGTCGCAGATGCACCAATCAGATCTTTTCTAACAACCGACTCTCTATGAAACCACCTACTGCGCACTAACAAAAAAAAAATTCGTAAAAATTTTAGTATAAAATAAGCCATAATTTCAGTCACAACCCCAACCCTAACGTACTTTAAAAATTCGATCGTTTTTAATTAATGCAGATCATCTGATTGGTGCATGTTGTCGATCTTTCATGGTTACAACCCTAGTATCAGTTTTATGTATCTGAACAACCTAAAAAATTTCGCTGTCAGATTAGGGTTAGGTTTGGACATTAAGTTAGAAAGAGCACTACGTAGCGATATCACGACAACCACATAACCAAATCTGACCCAAATTGATTTTAATTCTATAGATATATATCAGATTTGTTTATGTGGTTGTCGTGAGCTATTTTTGCTACCACTAAAGTCCACTGGCTCAACTGTTTAGAACAAAAATTTGAGTCCAAACTTGACCAACCTGGCCGGCTCACAAATCTTCGGGTTTAGCCCGGATCCTAATAATATAATAAAAATATAGGATTAAACTAGATCCCGCAAGGGGGCAATATTCTTATCTTTCGCAAACCCGACTTGACCAATTTTCGTGTACAAATGTAAATCAAAACATTCTGTTTCTAATAAAAAATGGTTGGCGCGAAATTTTACATGTAAGCGCAACATTTTGTCGGTAAAAAAACCCCGTTAACTTCCAGCAGATGATCTACGAACTAACCAATCACAATCGAGATGAGATCGCATGATGCGATCTATGAAAACTTTTTACAACAGCAAAGTGAATTTCGACTTTTTTACTAAGTAAACTGACTTTTAGCTTCTAAGTAGGATTGTAAAGATTGTTCTTACAATTGTAATGCTAATAAGATCATGAAATATAGGTATTTTTTATTTCACAATTACTGTTGGCCCTCTCAAAACCGGTATGCATGGTGGACGGGAATAGATTAGTGGGACCACCAAAATTCAGCAAATCGGCCCGAATTTGGGATCAGGGAGGGCCGGAGCAAAGTGCATTAAGCAATAATACCGCCCGACTATATTATAGCAAAATTATCATTTGGGCAGCATAGGCTGCCACCAGGGTTGTAAAATTACCGTAATTTACGGTAAGTTACTAAAACTTATAGTAAATACCATGATAAAAATTTTTAATTGGCCAAGATTATACGTATGATCGGCCAAGATTATACATATGATCGACCAAAGATTATACATATGATTAG